GTTGGGAAGGAATTCCTTTCAACCATTCGTACGCATCCTTATCCAAACTTTTAATCTCTTCCATAACATTATTAAAATGTGGAACTGTATAAGCTCTAGCGCACTTCCATAGTAAATCCTTGAAGACATTTGCTTTCCAATTTACCCTCATATTCTCATGTATATGTCGTAAGCAGTATCTGTGTTCCGCACATGGGAATAGATTTGCAATTGTTGGGATTACTCCCTAACAAACAACCAAAGTGTTAGATAATTTAATGTGATTAATTCTTCTAACTAAAAAAATATTAAGAAACAGTACTTAAGTCAGTACCTTTTGCCTATCAGACACGAATGTGAAATTTGAGTTTCTTTGCAAATCTAGGTCATCACCTAAGCAAGACAAGAACCATGTCCAAGACTTTAATTTTTCAGCCTCTACTATGCCATAGGCCACAGGATATATTCCATTATTAGGGTCAACACCCTACAAAAAGAAAATTGTAACAATAAAACCAAATTTCAAGAAAATAGGTGAAAACAAATACAAATGTAAAACAATGAAATTAAAGGAAATAATCAATACTACTGCAATTAATATTTGGCGAGGGTAAGTCCCCTTCATGAAGCACCCATCTAGACCCAACAAGTCTCTTTTTCCTGCCTTAAACCCCTTCTTCAAACTTCCAATGCATACATAAATCCTCCTGAATACTCTAGTCTCCATGTTTGAAAAATTCGGTTCTTCTTCAACGTCAATCTTCGCAGTCGTGTCTTCATTCATAGATTGCAATTCAAGGACATAGTCTCTTAATAACACATATTGTATCTTGTAATCACCCATAACTTGATTTTATGCTTTCCTTTTAGCTCTAAAAACCTTCATTCGGGATACTCCTATATCATACTTCCTTTCCAAATCTTCCTGAAGAGCCTTCAGAGGTATGGTGGGGTTACTCTCGATTTGATCAACGATCTTATTTGAAAGATATGTTGCTGTGCAAGCTTTAAATTTTCTTGATTGGAGGCAAGTATGGTTGTCATTAAAATTTTTGACAACCCAATCATCTTCCTCTCGCCATTTAGAAACATAAAGTACCCAAGGACAAGACCTTGACATTGATTTTACCCCTTTACCCTTGACTGTAGTACCTTTGCTTGGATCGCTACTAGTAGAAAATGACAAATTTGGGATGGTACCATTACATACAACCTTCACTCTGTTTTTGTCATTTTTATCCAATGAAATTTCTCTCCTTCTCTCTTTTGCATAATTGTTAATGGCTTTTTTGAATTCTTTGGATGTGTAAAAAGCTTGCCCTACAGAAAAGTGTGTCCCTTTTGAACCAACAACCTTAATCTCCTTGTTTTTTTCCTTAGCACCCTTAACTTGCTTTTCCTAATTCTATCTATACCCTCTTCACCTTCAGAAATGGAATCAAAATCTTCATTATCCAATATCTCTATGTTCTCATTATCTTCATCTGTAACATCCTTCAAGTTCGATTTTGGCTCAATCCATTCCAAATCTTTATTAGTATTCACATAGAAATCATTCATATCAACTTCTACATCATGCAATACGTCCTCCTTATCGACATAGAAGTCATCGTCTTCACTTCCATTATCTTCATCTTCACTTATATCAAAATCATCTTCACTGTCTGGTTCCTCATGAATTGGGTCAATACCTTGTGACATTGAATGGTCAACATTGGGTAGGAGAGCGTGTTCATTGGATATTGTTTTATCAAAAGCATTACCAATGTTAAATCCTGATTGGGAAACCACTCTAATTCAAGCCTTTTTCCACAGGACGGCTTCGTGGAACTAGAACCTCGTGATCGTACTCTGGTATAATCAATCAGGGGTACCATCATCTTTAATTTCCTGAATAATAACATTAGAACCTCCTGGTGACTGGAAGTAAGTGCAAACCCTTGTCTTATCTAGTTTAATGTATACCTCTAGCAATCTATGTTTTGGGACATAACTTGTTAGTTTGCATACATCACCGTCACTACCTAAAGCCATCAACCCAACATCAAGATCACTATCAGGCTTCTTAAAATGGTAATAGATTTTCCTATTACCATCATACCCTAACTGTAGCATCATGGAGTCTAACTCATGAACTGAGAACTCGTATGCATCCAAGAAATCAATGTACGAATGTCTTGCATTCACATATTGTCTTCGAGGAAACTTTGAGAATTCACCACCATGATATATTTTCAAAGAAAACACAGTTGGGTGTGAAGTTGTAAAAAAATACTATGAGCTTTGATCCCCAGAAGGTGTTATGAAGAAGCATACATATTATTTTGTAAAATTAGAGAAACAGAGGAACATACCGTAAATAACATCGACGTCTTCAAGCTCGTTACTAAAATGCACGTTCCACATCGTTAACGGCATCCTAAACTTGGTCGATCAACAGTCGACAAATAGCAATTAGGGTTTTCAATGAGAGAATTTTCAGGGAGGAAGGAAGACGCTTATGGACTACGAATACGTATTAGTCTTGGTATATGAAATGGGGTTTTAAATATAGGGAGGATTGATGCAATAATCATCACGATTTTAATCATATCTTCAAATGGGCGGCAGTAGGAAACACATGTTAAAAGACCAAATTGCCCATCATGTGCTTCGCACATGGCATAACTTAACGACTCTAGCAAACGTCGTTGAGACACGGGACCATATGCGCAACAAGAAAATAGTTTAAGGATGAGCTGCATTTAAATTGAAAAGTCGGGACCTGATTCAAAATAACTATATAACCACAGGGACGATTTTTGTAATTCTCTCTTGTAAAAAGGTAAAAAAAATAAAGTTGACGTATTCGTCAGTAAAGAAAATCTAAAACCTCTGTATAATTATAATGTTTTTTTGTCATTTCTTACAACTTTAATATAGTAAATATTTCAATGGTTGTAGCTTTTACCATTTTAAGAAACGTTTTTGTACATCATTGTTTGTTCACGCAATGTGTCATCAGAGCATATGGCATGAGTGAAAACCAAAAGTTGATTATTAGTTGACCACTTTCAAAAGGATTTAATCACACCAAAGCATTTGTGACACATTGTGGTCCAGTTTAAACGCAAAAACTTGAGCCTTATTGATTATGACGAATCTAAATTACGTTTATATGACGATTTATGCTGCACTATGATGATCATCAAGAATTAGTTTGACCTAGTAAAAAAAATGCAACAATACAAAAGCATGATTAAAAGAATTGGAGAAACTGTCAAAAGGTAGAATTAGTATTTACTTGGAATTGTTTCTGCATGTGTAATACTGTAATATATATGATTAACACACAACTTCTAGTGACTTAAAATATATGACCTTTGTATAAGAGTACCTGGCCAAACAAACTATATAGACAATCTAGATACCCTAAATATCTAGACATGACTTCATGTGACATAATATGTGCACTACATATTATAAAAGTACTATAAACATACTATATAGACAATCTAGACAACAGTTGCATGCTTCCAATTATCTACACACCAATTGCCTCCTCCTCTATGTCAATTGCTTTCTTTTTTCTCGAGACCCTTGCTGCTGCGGCCTCCTTTATACTTAACATTTGATTTAAAGGTTTGATAACCCAAAGGATCTTATGCATATATGCTCGTTATTAAGGTCATATTCTTCCTCTCCAATCTTGTAGTTATCTGCCTCGTTCTGATTATATTTAATTGTATAGTCATCTGACACCTTATCATTAGACTTGTCAGAGTACCTCTCATGATCATTCGACTTAACCAATGATGCAAATGGCAATGGCTCATCATCTTCAGCATCAGAAGGCTAGATATCAGCATGTTTCCTTTTCAGCTTTATATCAGCTGAATCCATAGGCTCGATGTTGATCGCCCCCTTTAGTTTCAAAGCACGGTTTGTATTCTGGTTATTATCAGAATTGAATGTGAAACTATTACCATCAACTGCAGACACATGCAAAGTAAACATGGGCACTATATATATATATATATATATATATATATATATATATATATATATATATATATATATATAGATATATATATATATATATTACCATCAACTGCAGACACATGCAAAGTAAACATGGGCACTATATATATATATATATATATATATATATATATATATATATATATATATACACCAAATAAAATTTGCACAAGTGGTAATCATAATACAATTACAGCTAGCCACTAAATGTCTTTGTTGGTTAACTCTTTCTTTTTTATCGTAAATTTTCCAGAAACTAAGACAATAGCCACGGTGTCATCATCGTTGGAGGATCTGTTTGCATCTATTTTTAACGTTTGACCGCATCACTGAAAACAAATCACAAAGTCATAAACAAAATGATAAACTATTTAATCAAAAGAAATAAAAAACACTCTTACTTACATTAATTGATTGTGTTTAATCTTTTTTAGATTCTTCCAAGTCACAAGCAAAATGATGAAGTTTTCACATACTTCACATACAAAATCAAGATTAAAATTTTTCACGGAAAGATCATATCCTAGCTTGGGTTTGCACTGTCGAACCAACTCATACTTAAGTTGGTTTGACAGTGGAAACCCAAGCTAGGATATGATCTTTCTGTGAAGAATTTGAATCATGATTTCGTGTGTGAAGTATGTGGAAACCTCATCACTTTGCTTTTGACTTGGGGAGAATCTGAAAAAACTGAAACGCAATCAATTAATGTAAGTGAAAGTACTTTTTATTTCTTTTGATTAAATAGTTTATCATTTTGTTTATGACTTTGTGATTTGTTTTCAGTGATGCGGTCAAACATTAAACATAGATGCAAATAGATCCTCCAACGGCAACAGCGATGATGACACCGTGGCTATTGTCTCGGTTTTTGAAAATTTTACGATAAAAAAGAAAGAATTAACTAGTAAAGACATTCAATGGCTAGTTGTAAGTGTATCATGATTACCACTTGTGCAGATTTTATTTGGTATATATATGTGTATTTATATATAGTGACAATGTTTACCTTACATGTGTCTGCAGTTTATGGTAATAATTTTACATTCAATTCAGATGATAACGGGAATGCAAACCATGCTTTGAAGCTAAAGGGGGCAATCAACATCGAGCCTATGGATTCAGCTGGTATGAAGCTGAAAAGGAAACATGCTGAGATTCAACCTACTGATGCTGAAGACGATGAAAATGATGAACCACTGTCATTTGCATCACCGGTTAAGTCGAATGATCATGAAAGGTACTTTGATACGCCTAATGATGAACTATCGGATCACTAAAACAACTAAATATAACCGGAGCGAGGCAGATGACTACGAGAGTGACGAGAAAGAATATGACTTTATTATTCGAAAAAATTATTTAAATACTCAATTTAAATAAATTTTATTTACAATTTTAATTTATTATTTTCCAAAATATTTAAATAAATCCCAAAATTTTATTTAAATCAAAATACAATTTATAATTTAAAATTTCACAACAAATCTAATGTTTATTTTAAATAAATAAATATTATATATATAATAAAAATGTATATATATGTAAAAAAATAAGTTTATGAAATTTCTATTTTAAAATTTTGGGTTTCTATTGAAAGGATTTTTCGATATTTGGGTAGATTGTGAATATTTCAAATGTAAGTTTAGGGCTTAGGACCTGATTTGAAAACAGTTTTTGGGAGTGAGGGGTTGAATCTAGACAATATCATAGTTGGGAGACTGTATGTGGCAAAATCACATGCATGTTTGTGTATCTGGTTCATGAACAGGAGGGAAACCTCCTGTTCTTTTCTTCGTTTTCGTAATACACCGAAAGGAAAAAAATATATATACGGTGGTCCTTTGATTTGTCTGAATCGACGAGAACAAAAAAAATGAAAAGGAAAAGGTGGCGGTGACTCACAGGGGCGGAGCAGCAGCAGCATAAGGGTGGTGACCGGTGGTTTTGAGACTGCAACCGGAGGCCGACGGAGGTGGTGGTTTCGATGTTGCTGCCTTCGTTTCTTCCTCCTTCCAGTTGTACTTCGATGCAGGGAGTATTTAGAAGCTTTTGTGGATCGAAATCAACTTAGGGGTGAAATTTTTAGGTGATGGCAGTGGGTTTTTGAAGGTGGCAGTGGGGTGGTGCAGTGGAGGGAGGTGATGGCCGGCAGCCTTCTGCTGCCGGTTTCTTCTTGTGTTTCCGGCCAAAATGAAGGCCGAGGAAGATGGTGGTGGTTAAGGGGGTTATAAGGAAGGGGTTGGAGGGTTTGATGATGGTTTTAGATGGTGGTGTAGGGTGGTTCTTCTAGCTTTTCTGGATAGAAATGGTGAGGGGGAAGAGAGAGAGTGATAGAGAGAAGAGTGGCTGATGAACTTGTGAGGAGAAGTATTGGCTTCTATTTATAGTATCAGCCCACACGCATTGATCAATGCCATACCTCCAACATTTTGTACCTTTGGTCAAACTTGTACACAAAGAAGGAGAGGGGGCAAGAAGGCACGTGGGCTTGGTACCAGCTGGAAGAAGATCAGGTTTTTGGAGTCTATCATCCCATGTGGGCCCCACGTGGGGTTATACCTCCATCACATGTCCAAAACGTACAAAAGCTGGATGTCTCGGGATTCGTGCATCGAAGATTTTTTTCGAAAGCACCGTTAGATAGAGTATAATTCAAGGATTACAGAAAATCAAACGGATTAATTTTTGGCGTTACGGATCTCCGGGAAATTGCGGTTGAAGTTCAGCGTATTAACGACTCGCGGTGTCTGTTTTTGCGACTTTCGTAAATATTTTCGTAAAAATTATTTTGTGTGTAAAATTAAATAATATACTATATCCTGAGTCCAAAAGCGCTCTCGGAAATCTCGTCGGCAAAGAGTAAGCGTCTCAACGGTTCGATTCGGTTTTACGCGATTAAAGAAAACAATGTTTTACTATCTGTTTTCTTGAAACGGTCGTATATTTTGCATATGATCTCCGTTTTTTACGTTCTTTATATTTTCGGAAACAGGGAACATGTACTATCATATTTTAATGTTTGTTTTGCTCAAAACTGATTAATGTAAATTTTCAGTTTTTCAGATGAATTACCCAGCGCTGCAGTTGAACAGTTTGATTTGGTTACCAGTTTACACGTTTGGGCATAAAATATCATCAGATATTACATAATAATTGAACTGAACTCATTTATATTTCATTAGATGCACTAAAACTGTCCGAGTTAGATTTATATGTATATTAATTTTATGTTCCCTTAGGAACAGTAAAGTTCCTAAGGGTTTGACATAATTGGTCCTTCTTTTTTTATCTATTTTGACACTTTTGATCATTTTTTAGGAACCTTTTAATGTTCAAAGTTTTTACCCATTTTTACACTTTTTGTATTTTTTAGGAACCTTTTAATATTCAAAGTTTGACCACAAAGCTTTAAGGAATTGACAACTTTGGTCCCTTTTCTAAAAACTTGCTAATTCTAACCCCTTATAGTAAACTTCCTTTTTTTGTCAACTTTGCCCCTTCTTTTTTTTACCCATTTTGACACTTTTGGTCATTGGAATCAAAAATTTTCATTTTTTAGGAACCTTTTAATATTCAAAGTTTGGCCACAAAACTTTAAGAAATTGACGACTTTGGTCCCTTTTCTAAAAACTATATATATATATATATATATATATATATATATATATATATATATATAAATTTTATGTTCCCTTAGGAATAGTAAAGTTCCTAAGGGTTTGACATAATTTGTCATTCTTTTTTACCCATTTTGACACTTATGATCATTTTTTAGAAACCTTTTAATATTCAAAGTTTTGCCACAAATCTTTAAGGAATTGACAACTTTGGTCCATTTTCTAAAAACTTGCTAATCCAACCCCTTATAGTAAAATTGCCTTTTTTTTGTCAACTTTGCCCATTCTATTTTACCCATTTTGACACTTTTGGTCATTGGAATCAAAATTTTTTCATTTTTTAGGAACCTTTTAATATTCAAAGTTTGGCCACAAAACTTTAAGAAATTGACGACTTTGGTCCCTTTTCTAAAAACTTGCTAATTTCAACCCCTTTAATTCTTTAGCCATTTTTACACTTTTGATTTTGACACTTTTGGTCATTGGAATAAAAAATTTTACATTTTTTAGGAACCTTTTAATATTCAAATGACTACAAAACTTTAAGGAATTGACAAATTTGGTCCCTTTTCTAAAAACTTGCTAATTCAAACTCATTTAATTCTTTAACCATTTTGATACTTTCGGTCCTTACAGTCAAAACTTTTACATTTTTTCATAAAAAACACAAAAAACAGCCCGGGGCAAAGCCCAGGTTTTTCCGCTAGTTACAAATAAATTTTCCGTAATTTAGTCGTTTGAATCTATACCCTAAATTCTGGGATGTCACGTTACCTCCCCGTTAAGGGAATTTCGTCACGAAATTATTACATTCTTGGCTACTTTATACTACTAGTTAGTTGTTTCATTAGTGGAGGGGGCATCGTTGAATAAGTGTGGATATTTTTGTTTCATTTGGTACTCACGTTCCCAAGTAAACTCCGGCCCTCTACGAGAGTTCCAACGTACTTTTACTATAGGTATGCGATTTTGCTTGAGTCTTTTGATCTCCCGATCCATAATCTCCACTGGTTCCTATACGAAATGAAGCTTTGTGTTGACCTGGATTTCATCGAGTGGTACGACTAGGTTTTCCTTGGCTAGGCACTTTTTAAGATTACACACGTGGAAGGTATCGTGAACCCTGTTGAGCTCTTGAGGTAGCTTGAGCTTATAAGCTACTGAGCCAACCCTTGCTAGGATCTCGAAGGGTCCGATGTAACGTGGGTTTAGCTTTCCTCTTTTTCCAAACCTGATGACACCCTTCCACGGAGCAACCTTTAGTAGGACATGGTCTCCTACTTTGAATTCCAACAGTTTGCGCATATTGTCAGCATAACTCTTCTGTCGGCTACGTGCAGCCTTTAACCGCTCTTTTATCTGAATAATATTTTCTGTTGTTTCTTGAATGATCTTAGGTCCAGTGAATAGTGTATCCCCAATATGCCTTCCAGCTAGTTGGGTATCTCCAACTTCTGCCTAACACAACGGTGAACGACATTTGCGCCCATACAAGGCCTCGAATGGAGCGGCCTTTATGCTAGTGTGATAGTTGTTGTTGTATGAGAACTCAACTAGTGGCAACTGAGTATCCCATGCGTTACCAAAGTCTATCACGCAAGCGCGGAGCATATCTTCCAGAGTTTGTATTGTTCTTTCGCTCTGACCATCCGTTTGGGTATGGTATGCTTTACTCATTTCGAGTTTTGTCCCTAGGGACCTTTGCAGTTATTGCCAAAATCTTGAAGTGAATCTATTATCTCGGTCTGAGATGATAGATATTAGCACACCGTGTAGTCTGACTATCTCCTTGAGATAGGTCCTGGTGAGTTTCTCCATCTTCTCAGTTTCCTTGATGGCTAAGAAGTGAGCGGACTTGGTCAAACGGTCAACCACTACCCAAACGGTATCATAACCACTTGATGTTTTTGGCATTTTTGTTATGAAGTCCATTGTTATCTGTTCCCACTTCCATTTTGGAATCGACGATTGTTCTAGTAGACCTGACGGCTTCTGGTACTCTGCCTCGACCTTGGCGCAGGTCAAACATTTACCGACATAGGTGGCAATCTCTGCCTTCATATTGGGCCACCAATAAAGCTTTTTGAGGTCGAGATACATCTTGTCTGATCCGGGATGTATTGAGTATCTTGACTTGTGAGCTTCGTTTAAAACCAAATCCCTGAATTCTCCAAATCTTGGAGTCCAAATTCGATTCATGAAGTATCGCGTTCCATCTTCTCTGAGGTCGAACTGTTTGTCCATGCCTCGTAGGTTTTCTTCCGCGATGTTCTCAGGTTTAAGTGCTTCTTGCTGAGCATCATTAATGAAAAGTTGGACTCTTGCTTAACTCATCCTCCACCACACCCAGTGATTCATTCTCAAAGGCAGCCGTTCAGGGTATCTTGGATACCTTGGTCAAGGAACATGCTGCGAATCTAGAAAAAGCAAATAAGGCTGTTGAGGACTCTGCTGCCACTTGCACTGCTGCGACCGAAAAAGTCGATAAACTAATCTCAGAGACTCAAACTTTCATGTCTAAACTCCAATCAGCCGCCAAATCGAATGCTTCCAAAGTAACTGAAGGGATTGCGAAACTCAGCGCTTCGCTTCGCACTGAAAAAGAGAATCTGGAAAAGGTTCGCACTGGCCTTACCAATGACAACTCAGAGTTTCACACC